TCTACTACACAAGTATCATTCAGTTTGTGAAGCATGAGTATTGTCGTCTAAAGATTGAATGAAAAGATTGCCTGTGTTTGTGGAACATTTCATCGCTTAACGCTTCATTTTATGCACACACGCCGTGATTGGGAGGTGCGCCGTACGACTCCTTGTGTAGACAGCCGTACAACCAGTGGCCAATCAGAAGCCTACGTTTGTTCAACCTAATCCGCAATGCTGATTATGATTAAGCTCCCAGAGTGTACTTTTTACCCACATTATATTTACTAAATGGGGTGTGCGATAGACTTACCTCCACTTGGTGCACTCTGGGCAGCGTATACTCATACGGCAAAAAGTCTATTAATCGGCAGTTGACTTCTGACTCCAAACTACCAAGACATCACCGCATTTCATTTTCTAATTAAACAGTACTCACCTTTTTTCTACCTTTGTGTCTGCCTGTCTCTTTAACGTCTCTGAATCATTATTCAGTCCCCCCTCTCGACTTTTTGCCACTTTGGTGTTCTTCTTCCTTTCTGTGAAGCCCGAAGTCAACTAAAGGACTAATGATACCTATCATAACGTCTGCCATTTGAAATAAATAGATTAATATTTACTAATAAACGTGGGGACCGCATGAGAGTGATGCTTTTCACTCACACCATGCAGGTTGTGGGCCGGGTAGCTCAGTCGGTTAGAGCGTCGTGCTAATAACGCGAAGGTCGAGGGTTCGATCCCCTCTCTGGCCACGCCCCTTTTCGCCTTCTTCATAATCACTAACGCGTCTGCTCTCTCGAACATGCGCCTTCTTCTCCTCCCTCCACTCTCCTATCAAGTGCTATAAGGAGGGAAAGGAGGCAATAGGGCACCGGCATTTAGCGCCAGCGAGAAAACTCTCACGCCGCGGTCACAACCACGACCCTGGCAGGACTCGAACCTGCAATCTTCTGATCCGAAGTCAGACGCCTTATCCATTAGGCCACAGGGCCACTCTGGTCACACAGTCACACAGAGTAGCACTGTCAATGCTTTACGCCAACTCCTCCTCCCAACCTCCCCCAGTAATGCTATCTGCTGCTCCCACTACCAGGTGTGGTCGCTACTAATTGTGGTCCCATGGTGTAGCGGTTAGCACTCAGGACTTTGAATCCTGCGACCCGAGTTCGAGTCTCGGTGGGACCTACTCTCTTCTCCTCCCTCCCCTCACATTCTATCATCCTAAAACTCTATCACCCTCCAACCCAACTCCCCTCTCGCACATTCACTAACTTTCGCCATGCCACCTGACCCACTTGCTATCCATTCAATCCCTCTAACACCGCTTAATAACATCTATATCATCTCTCACACACACGCACACGCAATAGAGCAGCAGTGGTTTGAGCCGTCTTTGCTTTATGGGAATACGTTGCTCAGGTCTCCGAGGTGTAAATATGAATCAGTTTGTTCAAATCAGAAGTCAATTGTGGTACAAAATCACATTATTGAAGAAAATTAAAAAATAAGACCAATAAACAACATATTGACGGTCATCAAAATGCCTGCGATTTCAAATGAGACTTTACAAAGCGTGTTTCCGCGTTGACTTTAAATAACATTTGTGATCATTGATATTTATTTCAAATGGCAGGAGTTTTGATAGTTAACATTGGCCCTATAGCTGACTTCGGCCTTCACAGAGGGGAGAAATATCAAAGTGAGAACAATTCAAGAGGTTAAATAGAAAAGTGATTCACAGGTGTAAAAGAGACAGACAGACAAACACAAAGGCAGAGAAAAGGTAAAATGAGTACTGTGGAAGTGCTGAAAAACGACATACAGTGGGGTTGATGGAAGTTTGAAGCTAGAAATCAACTGACAGTTAATTGATTTTTTGCCGTACGGGTATACATTTCCCAGGGTGCATCACGTGGAGATAAGTCACTGCATACCCCGTGATCATTGATATCATAATGCTGTGATTTAAGCCAGTATTTACCATCATTTTAATATAGTCACAATCTTGAAGAGCTATAGACGTTATTGATGGGTGCATCTTTCATCTCCATGAATACTTAGTAAGAAATAAAAAATCTTTCAAATTAAACATCATCGTTGAATTACTGATAAGTTTTTTAACCATAAATTAAAAAAAATAGAATAAAATTGGCATTTTCAACATAATGTTAGAGTTTTAATCAATAAATGTATTCAATTGCATTTTAATTTAGAGTTAAAAATGGCCAATTAAGTTTAGGTATACATTTTTCGAAGCCATAAAATTAAAGAACACCATCCTGATCCAAGAATCTGACTAATCAGCAGGAGTGGACATGAATCTTTAATCCAATCGTTTAAATTTAACTTTATTTTAGAACTCTTAACTTTATGTTTGAGAATATTGCTCAAGCACTTAGCAAAACACCAATGGATTTGCAGCTTGCATTTTCAATACTAATTAAATTGTTGTTTATACACAGTTAATTAATGATCTTTAATCCCCAATGATTGGCATTATGTTGCACAACAAAATTTCACTCAATATGCATACTGAGTAAGTGGATACGAACAATTGCATCGTCGATTTATATACCGATTCTTCTTCAATAGAATCTTGAAATATGCGAATTTGATGAAGCTAGTCATTTCTTCAAATAATGGAAATGACAGGAAGAGAAACTTAGACAAATTGATCACATTGAATGTATTTACTTTATAATCTGATTGAGATAATGTTTTATTTACTTGAAAACGCCCATACTTAAGAATTGTCACAAGTGAAAAGTTCTCAATGAATGGTTGTGTTTGATGAAATTTTGATTTTAAAATTAGCGTTGTTGTAAGTGAAGTTATCTAAGATCTCTAATTGAAGAATATTTTTTTGTAATTTCTTCAATAATGAAATTAATAATGCCGTTTCCAACTTTTAAAAAATACCGAAATTCCATTTCCTGTGATACTTTATATTATACCGTTCACAAAGGCCGTTACCTTTGCTCAACAAAACTTACCTGAAGATTCGCTCACATTATTTGTTTCTAGTTCAATAAATACACTTGTAAAGGTGCCTACCACACTGACTAATTTCTTCTCATAAGTTACGAAGTTCCTTCCACTACTTACTGCCACTTCAAAGGATTGCATACTCTGTAATTCAAGTCACTTAAAATCACCTAGCTTATAAAGAATTATTGAAAACCTACTTGCATCACTTTCTTGAAAACCACTTAAACATTCTGTGCTTGCACGTATGGTTAGGTGTGTGAGTTTGCAATATAAACTTAAGTAAGTCGCAATTAGTTTGAGTTTTGAATTATCTTCATCGCTAATTACAACCAAATTTTCATTCCATCTTCTTACATCCTTTAGGAAAAAAATGATTTTCTTTTGATAGTATTAAATTTCGAAGAAATCTCTAAGCTCCACCCTAAACTAAACATTCTTCTCAATAAATATTGTCCAAGTGGCATCTATTCCCAAGGACATTTCTGACATGAAGTCAAAAGGGTACAATTTTGGATTATTCTACTTCATCGTTTGCCTTCAATCCAATTGACTTAAGCCAAAAAATGACATTTATTAAAAGGAGGAAATGCGTTAAAACAGTTCACTTCCCCACATACATGACTATAATCTAATTGTTCAATTCAGCTAGATGGAATTTCTTTGTAATCGGCACTTCTATTTCCAAATCTAAACCTTATCAGAAGCCTTTCATCGAATTTCGCATTTTAGGTATTTAGCCGTAAAAATATTAAAATTTGAAAGAATAAGCAGTCAATGCTTGTTCATTAGAAGAGAGACATTGTCAACAAAACAAGGGGTCAGAGTTGTGAAGTGCAATATTTAAAAAAAATGATTTTTATATTTTATGAATCAGCCCAATCGATTCAAACATCTTTAAAGTTTCAATTACAATGTAAATTTTTTTTTAGCTCAAATTTGTAAAAAGATGGTTTTGAAAATTGGCTTTGACGAATTAATGAGACACTGGCATTTTAGTTCAGCTTTTCTGCAGGCATAATTAGAACAACAAATTTATGTTTTAGCTAAATGTCATGGTTTGCATGGGTCTTCCACAAAATTGTTTTTAGGCCCGCATTTTGTTATTGAAAGTAAGAAATAAAAGTGATATTTCATTAGATGTCACATGATACCACATTATTCCCAAAATTTTGTCAAAACAAAACCTTTAGTGGTACTTGACGACAAATTAATCACTGATCAATTAGGTGTGCAAAAAGTTTTGATTTAAGTAGTATTCTGAAAATTTCATCGTTTAACTTAGAAAGGTTATTGGCTTGCCCATGAAAAACGTCAGTTTTTTGCACTTTTGTCAGTATCATAGACATTTGACGGTTGGGATGTTATTTCCTCTAAGCCTTATCGTGAGGTAAATATGACATCGAAGGTCACATCAAGTGACGAGATATTTCGACACTGAACTAAAATCGATAATATTTGAATCATAAATTATAAAATTCTGAAGCCCTTGATCAATTTTCGTTTTATAGAAAATTATCCGTACAAATATGAGGTGTGCGATAGACTTACCTCCACGTGGTGGAACCTGGGCAACGTATACTCATACGACAAAAAGTCAATAAGTAGGCAGTTGACTTCTGACCTTAAACTACCATCACTTCACTGTATGCCACATTGGATTACATCCACAGTTCTCACCTCATCTTTTTTCTATCTTATTGTCCCTCTGTCTCTTTTACATTTTTGAAACACTCTTCTGTCCCCAATTCTCTCGACTTTTTTCGCTTTCATGTTCCTCCCCTCTATGAAGTCCGAAGTCAACTAAAGGGTTAATGATAACTATCAAAACGCCTGCCATTTGATATAAATAAATCCATACAAATATTGATGGTTGAAGGAATGTGCCGACAGTTCTTGCACTCTGGAAGACTTTGACAAGAAATCAGAGTTGTAAGGCTCAAACGCCACTAAAACTTGCAAATTCAATATTTTGACTTTGGGTCTGTATTGCCTGAAACAATGTCAATCGATTAGAACATCTGAAATGGCTCCACTTTCCATGCAGTTTTTCCATTATTTTAATTAGTTAACATAAAAATCACATGGTTTATTTTGAAAATTGATTTCATGACGAATCAAGGGGTTGCCAACTTTTAAATTCATCTTTTCTGTAAGCATGATTAGAATAAAATGCGCAAGTAAATGATAGTTTTCGTGGATTTTTAATGAAATTTTAATAAACTAATTATTGAATATGAGCAAATAAAAATATTCACATTATCTCACAATAATCCGCGGTAATCACATTAAGTCACACTTTTTGTCCAACCAAAATCCTAAGTTTTGCGTGATAACAATGAATCACAGAGCAAGAATAAACTTTTGCCTATGAGAAAATGTCATTTGGTTGAACTATTATTATTATTATCACGGTTATTTCGTCAGCATTAGAAACCTTGAAGGCATGCTTCCTGCATGTTTGCAAAAGTCTGAAGCAATTCACAATTTTCCAAGCACGTCACCAATTTGAAACGTGAATATTTTCATTTTTAAATGCCAAAATAAACACCGTTTCCCCAGCCCCCCCCCCCCCCCCCCNCCCCCTCGATTTCTCGATCCTGCAAACAAATTTTCACCTCGAAAGGGGATAGAAATATGATGGTAGTGCATTATAGTAAGTTGTATGTGCAGAAAGGGCGCAAATTTCAAGAACCTTATGGGTAGAAGGGAAACGATGTTGGAATTATTCCTAGTTCATGCTTGGAGAAAATTGACAAATGACAAAATTGGTGTCAAATCGAATTATGCCAAATGGCTCTTTGGAGTTCTCTCCTTAGTAAAAAGTTTATGATTTTGTGACTCTACGTGTAATTGTCATGAATGATCGGCATGCTCATTAACACAAATTCTATTGGAATTGAAAGAGTCTGAACTTACCTAATTACCACTTAATAAACATTCTGGGAGTATGCATGGTCAAACTGATGATGTATGAGATAATTTGACGATTTTTCTAACCAGTGCACAATTAATTATTTGATTCCTTACATGTTAGGAAATTGGCAAAGCCATTTTATAAGAGAGTGCTACTTTAACACAAGCAAACATTATTACTAGAATAAAGAATTATTTCGAAATACTTTTCCTATTACGCCGCCGTAAAGATGAGCTTTTGTTCCACTCTCAAGTACTTTAATTTTATCATTTTTAATGATTATAAAACGAATCCATTATTTATAAATCAAATAAATCGGATTCGACTCAATATTTGATATATCGCAAAAATGTTATTCCGATGAATGGAGTAAACGAAATTCGAACTCATATTTAGCTTAAATTAACGCAAATTTTTAGTGTTTTTGATGGGAAAATTTTGTCAATTTCCGTTGATGTCTAATTTGTAAAAAATAATTTATGACGCAGGTGCTCGGTATCTAGTGAATAAACGTTTCGGTTATACGTCTCTGCTTCTCTAGGCTCGGTAATTGGGAGAATCTATCACAAAGGTTTCTGAGACTTAAGCCAGGCATTACTAGCGTAGAAATCCGCTACAAAGAACAGGAAATTTGCCAATAAAATAAAAGTCAAGAAAACAATATACCCATTGAAATAAAAAATAAGTCTTGTGAAAATTGCAATTTTAAAAAACAAAAACTATTTTGAAACCGTCAATCAGTTGATTATTTAGATTCAATCAAAATTTTACCCAAATTCTTCATTCAAAATTTATTATCCAATTGCACTAACATTTAGGAATGAAATACCTTAAAATGTGAAAAAATTGGCATATATTACATATTGAGTTTAAAATCCGAATTTTCAATTGCCAATCACTTAGAAAAGAATTGTTTAACTTTAATTCATTTTCGCGCAATGAATATCAAGTTGAAGAAATTGAGGGATGGTGAAAAAAATAACGCAGAACAGGTTGGACTTAAATAAATCCGGAATGTTTTGTTCTTAAGATATTGATAAAAAAATCATTTTCGACAACACGTCAAAATGGCAGATGAAATATCACTCTTAGGATAGGCATATTTTATTACCAAATGCTGATTTTATCAGTCACCAAATTTAACCTTCTTCAAATAGTGAAATAGACCACCACACCAAGTACACACACAGTACAAAATTGTCATCGACTTGCGCTAATTTTTTTCATTTGAGTCAATAGCATAATTTTATGGGAGAATTGTTGAGCAACTCTTTGCTTTCTATTCCACTGAACCAGATTGGGCATTGTACACCACATATTAGTCTTAAATGTTTACTGAATTACTAGAAATGGTCACTGAACTAATTACGCCCACTTGATATGGCCGTTACTATAAGGCGCTCCAGCAAACTATCTTACTTGGGATGCAAATGACAATTCTGGAAGATTTGCGAAGGAACTAATGAATGTTTTGTGGCGAAAGAGCAAGAGAAATAGATCAACATTGAATGAACACCTAAATGTGGGGATTTAACGCCGTTTCAGACTGTCCTGACGGGCACACACTAAAAGTAAATCGAATTTGTCAAATTGAATTGGTATTCCTAAGGGCTATGACAAATATCGATTTTCAACTGTAACAGGATAATGGCTATTTCAAGAATGTCGAGCACATATGAGATAGCTTAGTTGCAACAACTTGTGGTTGTGCACTCCATAAACTGTAGAGATGGAAGCATCTGTATTCACAGAAAATATGGAAATAATGCATAAAGTTGTCAAAAACTTTTATCATAATGTATGTCAAAAGAGCATGTAGATGTGGTGAATTACTTATAAGCTTGTTACATGTCGTGTTACTATGCCAACCAGACGGGTGACATTGATGCGTAAAAATCATGCGCGTACATTAAATATTTGTATTTCGCCTTAAAATTAGTTTTGAAAGTACAAAATTTAATTAATGCAAGCTTGATAAATATCAGATGTTCAAACTTCCACTTAGGTAAATGAGTTAGTACTGAGTTATTTGGGAGCATTTGAAAATAATTATTATTGTAAAAGAAACCGCATCTTTTATTTGGGTGGAAGCACGATAATTAGTGTTCGAACTATTAGGAGGATGGACACAGAGAGCTATTGAAAGTACCGAAGCATCAAAGAGTCTCACATCATCATTAAGCTTTCAAGTTTGGCGGGAAAAACTTCAAATAAAACAAATGCTCAGTTTTCATGCTGCACACCCATTGGATGGAATCATCTGATTGAATGGAATGCTCAGTGAATGAGGATCAACTTTAAAGCCTGAATGGTCGTTCCTCTCAACTCTATTCAGGTATTAATACCTATAAACGTTTTTGAAAATAGAATTATTTCATTTAAACATTAGTAGCATACGGATTAGATAAGCATAGGTGGCATAGCTAAATTATTATATTTTGAAACTTTTATTAAAATATTCCACTCAAGTAGTAATGTGCGTCTACTTCTAGCAGTTTAAAAATTCAAAATCAATAATGCCATAGAAAGCCCTCCACCTGGTAAAGTTCATGATATAGTGGTCAGCTAACATTTAAGAATCAATGAGACAAAAAATCAATTCCATTGTAAACAACTGTACAAAAACAATAACCGGTTACCCGGTAACATACGCGAGTAAGCGCATGCTTCACTTCCATTGGCCCTTACAAATAACTCAAGGTGCATATTTGGAGGTTTAAATTCATTTGAAAATATTTTACGGAGTTTGCTAATAATGGTGAAGAATAGAAATACTGTCATACTCATTTTCTTAGCAGGAATCATAATTGTATTAAAAATTTTCTCCAAAACACTGAATGGTAAGTACCTTGCTTTAATTGGTTCATATATTCCAGAATATCGAGAAGATTTGATCATTTATCATCATGCTATTGAACAATTGCAATGGTTGACAGAATTTTCCAATAAATCTGTAAGTGAATCAAAAGTGATTCAATTAACCACTTTTCAGGATGATCTCTCAGTAGGTAGAACACCTTCCATCTACTACGATCGAAAGATAATCTATCATGTAACAAGTCCTGATGGATGCAGATATAAGTGCAACTTTCCTAAAAGTATTGACGATTTGGGAAAAGGAGATGCTGCAGTATTCTCAAACCACTTTTCTGTGAAGAAAGCAACTGGACTCAAAGCAAGAGGTGTAATTATTGTCTTTGAAAGTGGAGAAAGTCCGATCTTCATGCCTCACTTAAGCTCTGAGGAATTAAATCAAGTGAGTGCCACCTCTTTCATTCCCAATTATCGATTTTACTTTAGGTTGACATATTTGTTTCGTACATGGCAATATCACCTGTTCCTGTGCTATATCCCATGTTTATCAGAAACGCATATCCCACATTAAAGTTCACCAAAGAACATGTCTCACAAATGATGTCAGAAAATAACACACATTTGTTGCCGNATCTATGGAAGAAATAGAAAATTGAAGTTGCCAAATATGGAAAATCCATTTGAATGGCTTTCCAGAAATTATAAATTCTATCTCTCATTTGAGAACGCCAATTGCAGACACTACATTACAGAAAAAGTTCAATATAATGCCTTAAGGTGAGGATTAAAATTCCTTATTCATTTCAATGGATATGAAATAGCATCCATCTGCAAATTTAACTTTGATATTACTTCCAAATGGTTGAAAAACGTCAATGAGGTTTACAATGATAGTTGGAGTTTCAAGTTAAATTATCTTCTGAGAAACTGTTCAGTTGAAATGGTGCTTGCTCATTTAGAGAATGTGGTAGTGACTAATTTATTTTAGAAAATCTATAATGACGCGTCTCAAGAAATGCATATCTGGGTTGGAGACATTCATGAATATGTATCATCCGATACTGAATTGAATTTTAGCAATGGAATGGTACCAATCGTTTTGGGTGCCTACAAAGAGGACTACGAGAATGTTCTTCCACCTCATTCCTACATCAACGTGGATGACTTTGACTCTATTCAGGAACTTGCTGAGTACCTTCAGTTCTTGGACAAGAATGACACTGCTTACGCACAATATTTTGCTTGGACTAAACATGGTCGAATTATCGTAAATTCTGATTCAGATAAGATGTTTATTTGATGCATAAAACTGTTTTTATAATCAATTTTCCTTTTGTTTAAGAAGTTGAACAGACCTGATTGCCGACTTTGTGGAGTTATGCGAAATATTAACGAAGGAAATATGTTACTCCGAAAACCAGATCCTAAACTATTTACAGATCCAGGTCATCT